GCAAAACTCTTCGTCCAAAAGTGTCAGTGATGTTCGTGTCCAAGATCAAACCGCCTGAAGAAACTGAAAGAGCAAGGAAGCTGCTCAGTTGTGCTTCAATGTGTGTTCCAAACAGAACATGCGCGCGACCATGTTGTCCCACCATGTCCCTCTTCGTTCGGCCGTTTGGGGCCTTGGCCACCATGAAGACATGAACCGACAGAAAGCGGTTTGCCAAGAGGGTGAGCTCCTGGGCGATCGACCAACCAAACGGTGAAACGGCCTTCACAGCTTTGCAAACCAGGTGTTGCAGCCGACCACAGGCTACGGGTGGCAAAGACCAACTTGCAGTTGCCGAAATGAATGTTCACATCAATAGGTTGTGGAATGCGTATGTGCACACTTCAGCTCCTGCGACATGCGTACTTGGCCACTTTAGAAATCCAAGTTCCGTCTTCAGAGGAGGTTTTTTCTTGAACAATACCTGGATCATGTGGGCTCATCCACCTGGAACCCCACCAGAAACTCTCGCTTCATCCGGCCGCAATTTGCGTGAAACGCGTGAAACGCGTTTTCCGTGGAGACGGCTTAGCGCGCTGGTGGACGGTCCAATCCTGCTGCAGCTTCACCGCACGCAAGAGACGTAAAAGCCGCAGCAGCCGCATCTGGGCAGGTTAAAGGTTGACTCGTTGGTCGGCGCTTGCTCTTAGAAACAAAGCAATGGCAAAAAGGAAGTTTTAAGGCGTGGACATTGGTTTACTAGGGACTATTCCGAAGCTAAAAACAGGATGAGTGTTCAACAAAAGAACATGAGTGGGTAGATAAATTGCGTGATCTTCATGCAAACCTGGTTGTTTCCAACAAACTCTGTTTGGCAACTTTAAGGAGCTTCCCTAGGAGACATCCATCGGTGGTACAATCAGTGGGTGCAATATTACCGTGGTGTGGGCAAAGGCTAATTGCCAGAAGATCCTTAATGATACCAGTACAAAGAGCATTCCAGCATGGAGGGAAGCAAGTGGAAACCGTGGACATTCCACAGTGTTGACCTTCTCTAGTACCGACTTGACGTGCTCACACACACTCCCAGCTGCAAACAAGCATTGGAAAACAGTGTCTGTGTGTATTTCTGGTGATAAAGTGATAGACCAGGCATGTTTCTAGTTTGCAAACATCGAAATGAAGGATAGACTCTGCTCACAAGCTTCACAACTCCGCAGTCCTACGCAGTGACTCGGTAGGGGAATCCCTTGTGTACAAGTTTAAAATAGAGGAGCCCAAGCAACACCAGGGTGTGTATCTTCCAATCAAGAAGCTTCCCAAGAACCACTTCCAATGTCCAAGTAAGGGAAACAAGACCTCCAGGCACTGGAAGAAACAAACATGACATCACAATAACACATGAAATCACTTGCTTCTAGAGGAAAGTCGTCCCGTTTCTTCGCCCTCCATGTCACCGATGTGTCTCGGTTGCGGCCAGGGTCGATCCCTCAGACGGTCTCTGCCAGGGCCCCCAACCGTACGGAGGAACCGTGCGGAGCGAAAGCCACCGTCTGCGTCCTGAGACGGACGAGAGGGCAGCGTACGGATGAGAAAGTCTGGTGTTGACCAAGGCGACCGGTCTGTGGAAGATGGGAGCCGGATTTGATGGGCAGAGGGGCCCGACTATGACCATAACATGGGGCATCCAGACTTTTCGCAGACTTGTTTCCATCTGAGTTGATGAACTTCAAAACATAGAATTTCTCGTGAACCCTTTTACTGACGATCTTAGCCATTGAGCCAATATTAGGTCCTTTGTATAAGCACGGCAGCTTGCGGTTCCAAAGTTCCAAGGACCAGGGCGCACAAACAGACATGCCTTCAACGAACTTTGGGAGAGGTCGACTGAACAAGCGTGGGAATTGGAACCCCTCGGCAAAGACCATCCGCGTGATGTTACAGGGCGATCTTCCCACGGTCTTTTGGCTTCGCTGCTGCCCGCCTCCCCGAGAATTTCCACCAGCAAAAGAGCGATATCAATGGAGACGACCAACACGTCTAGCACGAAGTAGGAACCTCCCACAGTGAAGATAACTATGTGATACTATGTGCGTGCATCGAGCGTACATAGCACACGTCCTCCCAATGCTGCTTGATCAATTAATGTGTAGCATTTAAAGAACACATTGGCATTGACCCAAACAGCTGGTGTATGTTGATCCAGTGGGTTGTGAGTAGTTGTGAGTGAATTGTTCATTGCTCCAAGAGAACGCTGCTGAGCTGTTGGAGCATCTGATTACAGTGACAGTATATTTGCCAAGATGCGCAAGTAGGCACGTGCCAGTTCAATCACTCTCATCTCGGTTCTCCCCTGTTTCTCGATGCCGAAGAACCTCAATCAGCACGCTTGGATCAGCCTCAAAATAGGGTTGGAGCAGTGGAGCTCCGTTTGTGTCAGGTGAGCTTCATGCCCAGTTCGCTGGTTGTTGGTAAGTTGCATATGTGGTTCCAATTCAATTGCTCGCTAGTCAGTGCATCGGGGTGCTAAATTGTTGTATGGATTGATGAGGGAGGTTTCATGCGGAATGGGATTGTCTACACCCTAGCTTATGCCAGCCTACTCTGCACACAAACACAGAAACTACAGTGACCACAGTGGCCACCAAGAAACAATAGTTATCTTCCAACCCCATGACGAAGTTAGCACCTAATCACCTCATGCATCTCCCATTCCTCCCTTTTTCACTCGACCAAACTCAACCGCCCCCGCTGTGACAGGCTCCGAGTGGTCAAAGCGGGAACCCCGGCAGGTTCATCGGCATGTCAATCATCCAGAAAGCCATTGAGAGCCTCAGCACGCTTCGAGGCCGGCTCGTTGGGCCACGCCTTCAAGCTGACGGCTTCGCAGACGTTAGAGCAAATACTTGACATTCCTTCCCGGCCCTAGTTTCAATGGGTTGCGACTTCGCTCTAGCTATCTAGAGCTACACCTCTTCCCTAAAACTAATGTCCCACAAGATCCTTTGCACATGCTTCCCTGCAAACCAGTTCGCCCAGACTTCTCGCCCCAACTCATGGGTCGCTGAGGTGGGTATATGACAGCAGTAATTGATCTTTCTCGTGACCGCGACTGACCACAACATGCAAATTGACTAGCACTGCATCTGATTTGAACCATCAAAGCAAGAACTAGCTGAGACAGAGCCAAGAGTTTTGACGGGTGACAGAGGAGCGGTAGAAACACCTAGAAAAAATCAATCCCCTGATACAGAACCGCCGCTGGGGCCGAGCTGCCGGCCCATCACGCCCAAGACATCTGTGGTGTAGGGCCCCAAAGCAAAGAACTCCAAGGGGATAGTGATCAAATCCTCAGGAAAAGACATTGGACGGTCTGGAGATTAGTTTCTATAGGTTTGCTTCACCAAAAATGGACCTCCCCAACCAGTTTTGACATGTTTTGACTGTATCTGAACACTTACTTTCTCTACATTCGATTGTGTTTGCGGTCCTAATTGAAACGCTTAAGCCGCCTTGGGTTCATGTGAGGCTACGCATTTGACTTTGGATGGTACAGCATGATCTAAAATGTCAACGTCAACCCGCTGCATTGGGTGTTCCAGCACTATTTTAGCGTTGCGGGTCAAAAAGGGCTAGATTGCGGGTTAGTGGAGAGGCCCGAACATCAATGCTCTACCAACGCATTAACTCTCCCAGTCCAGACAAATGCAAAGCTGATCGAAATCATGGTCAAAGAAGACTGAACGCTTCCTTCCTGGCAGCCACACTCTTCACTTCGGCCGCTATGTGTTCCGACACTCCCCTCAGAACTCCTGGCTCAAATCCCTACAGAAACCACCTGGGAAGACGGCGTCAAGAGTCCTTGAGAGGGATATATATATATATATATATGTGCGTTCCTTACTCTTGGAAAGGCGGACCCGGAAAATCAAGTTGAATCTGTGTCCATTCGCTAGTAAGCTGGAGGCCATCGCTATTAAGTTGGAGGCCATCGCCCTTAGGTTGGAGGTCATCACTACTAGGTCCTAGGTTGGAGGCCATTGCTATTAGGTTGGAGGCTGTCTCCACGATTCAGGCGGAGTTCACCAATCAGTGATGCCAGGCAGGGAAAACCATCAAAAACAACCTTTGGCAAAACCGCTGCTTTATAAACCAACGATGTTTGTTGTCCAGGGGTTTGTGTTGGGAGGAAAAATCAAACGGACCCAATGCTCAGATTCGACTAAACTGTCCCTTCCAAGGACCTTGATCATGTCGGTGCAAAATGCCAGCCATGTTCTCCGACTTGAACACCAAGTGTCCCAAAGGATTAGCATGGTGCCGAAAAAGGTCCACACCATCTGCTGCTTGCTACGCGGTGGCAAAACCATCCGACCAATGCATGTGTAGTCTCGAATCACCTCATTCCTGAGCGAGGTCAGGAGTCACAAAAAGGTCGAGTGTGGCCACCAATTTGCATCATCCACTACCAGCAAAGGAACTGGAAAACCACTTCGACTTTTCCGTGAAACAGATTCAGCACTTTCGTTGTCGCAAGTCTGCAGCATCTCGTGAGCTGGACGTGCTAGCAATGGGAGTTGTCCCAAGTGATACTTGCTGTTGGCTTACACATCGTAGAGGTGAAGGTGTAAAAGTGCAGATGCTGGGTCTGCCTTTACGGAAACTTCCTACAACATGAAAACCTGGATGGTGGATGATGGTCATTTGATGTGCTTAGGAACTTGGAATCCAGCATGTTGATACTCGTCCTGGCGCTCATTCTGGCTTGTATACCCTATCACCATCTATCAGCCAAATTGACCATGAATATGTACTGTGTTTATAACTATATAAATATATATATGGTGATATACAGCATATATATATATGTATACAGTATACATATGAATTCAAGAACTCTCAGTGATCGAAAATGCTCGAATGTGTACCAGCATCAGGCCTGCGATTTCCGTGAAGATGGTGAAGTCGTTTCCCAGGAATTGGAGAAATCCTCGCAAACCTCCCTTGTAGACTGTTGTATCTGTGTCCCATCCGCGCAAACCTCCCTTAGGTAATTGCCCATCTAAAGCCCTTCTGTGAGCAGCTTGAGCAGCCCCTATGGTCACAAGGCCAACGACCTGCGTGAAAATTGAAAAAACCTACTAGCGATGGCCTCCAACCTAATAGCAATGGCCTCCAACCTAGTAGCAATGGCCTCCAACCTAGTAGCAATGGCCTCCAACCTAGTAGCAATGGCCTCCAACCTAGTAGCAATGGCCCCCAACAACCTAGTAGCGATGGCCTCTAACCTAGTAGCGATGGCCTAGTAGCAATGGCCTCCAACGTAGGAGCCAAGTTTCATCCTCAAACTGTAGGACTTGCTCCGTGTCGAGGGTAAGAAATTGCGGTTCCGATGAATTGTGGACGCTTCCTGACAAGTGCGCCGGTCAAATTCCTTGTCTGTGATCGTCACCACTAACAAACAACCATGATTCACCATGACCTGCACAGTTCAAAGTCAAAATCAAACATTGTAGCAGAAAAAGTAATCCTAGTATTTGGGGATGCAGAGGAATTTGCAGGTCAGTATGAAAACCCGTTTTAAGGGTCCAGGCAGTGTATACCTCTGTATACTGCTATCTGGTTGGCTAGACCCAAACAAGAACTCTCCCAAGTCTTTGGAAAAGCCAGCAGTGCCAGCAGTGATGTTCATTTTTCTCATGCCTTTGGATGTTTCAACCATTCGCCTGCCAGGAGATTTTCCAGGAGGCCCGCATCTGCAAATCTTCCTCACACACGTCTCAATGCAAAACTGGCTATAGGCATCTGACAGTTGAGGGCCTTGCCAAATCAGTGGCAGATTCCACCATTCAATACTGTGCTTCTGACCAGGACCAAGCCTACTAACCAACGGATGTGTATCTCAATCATTCTCCCCAAGCAACACCTAAAGCGTTCAGGGTGACTTACACAATCTTCCGCTAGAAATTAAGCTGTCGTCGTTCTCCTGTAACCCACTTCCATCCTTTGTCATCGCACTCTTCTAACAAAGGGTCGCTTTGTGGGTGAATCACAGGACCTCAAATGGCCTCAGATCTGTTTCCTGCTCTGACCCTCCAAAGTTACAGGATCCCCTTCACAGCCTATATTTGAGTGCGCATCAGCGATGTTGGGGACAGGTCTGATTCGCTCAGAAAGGTGCCAAGGAGGATATGCCGATATGCCAGACTCTTCCAAGAGCAGCTACGGAGCACCGTAATACGCTTCTTGTCGCTTGTTCAAAGGAAAAGGGGCACGCTCCTTGCAACAATCATGAACGGCGACCCTTTGCCAGAAAAACATGTAGTTGTTGGATGAAAGGTGAACTCTTCACAACCCTGCTATCTAACAGGACTGGCTGTGGGCTTGACCGCAAGGCACGATCTGAGCATGTTTGAGTTTTCTTGACAACCCTGCACACCACTTGAAGATATTGAAAAAGGTCGTGCTGAAGATGGAAAAAAACGGACAAAGTAATGATTGTACTTGAGAAAGCAAGACAACTTATCGAAGCCTCGAGAAGGCTCACAACAGAACTTTTCTCTTTGAGAAAGGCCTCGAAGTGATGAGCAATGAACACTTGGCAAAACAGAATACTGTACCTTTTGTCTCATGTTCGAACAAACGACACAACTGGTATTGTCCGGTTGGACGGTCTCTCATCACTCTCCGGTCCTCCACAATGGGCTCATCCACTTGAGTCACCGAGGAAGACTGGCACGTGGCGCTGACGAAAACCAAAATGAGATAAGCGTTGCTCAAACTGGGCCTCCTCGACTCCTCCGCCCCACCCATCACCCAACCAAACAGTTTGTTGAAGGTGATTTCCTGGGGGGTTATGAATCCAAGTTTCTGAGATACACCCCAGCTCTAGAGGACCTCATGAGTTCTTCAGACACCAATGTTGGATTGAGGCAAGGGGACAAGGGGTACGGGCGGGTAGCGATTCAGGCTCCAACATCATGTTGAGCAGAAGGAAGCTGATCTTTACATCGTTTCCCTGCATGGTTGCATATGACGGCCGTGCAGTTGGTCACACCGCATTCTTGTGCATCAAAGCTGGGAATCTTGATTTGGTCTTCTCTAGTTACTCACTACTCCTGACAACCAAACCAAACCAAACCATTTAAATGTTGATGTGTGTTCCAAACTTACACCCCACAACAAGGACCAAGTATTAAAACCTGACTCCAGAAATGACAAGGGCAAATCCTGAATGTCTCTTGTCGGTGCGTTCCACACAAAAGGCCGGAAGCAGAGGACATGTGCCTCTTGGCAGTGAGTCGAAACGCCGGAAAAAAATGCTCGTCCAAGAGTTGAGCCGGTTGTTCGACCTCTTCGGCGAACTTAGGAACTTCTTAGGAAAAAACACGATTCCGTACTGACCAGCTTATCTGGCAGCCTGGTAGTCCGCACCACCATGAATAAGCATAACCACCTACTGGATCTCGAACGAGCCTACAGTTGCAGGGGTCGAGCTTTGATCTGTCCACTACAGCCACTATGATCATACCCACCAGCAGCTGCTGCAGGCAGCCGCAAATCCAACCCATGAGACGTCTTCACCTCCAGCTCCAGAAGCTTCTCAGAGAATTCCAACCACTTCTGACCTCAGCTGCGCTCGGGTACTTTTGTGTTCTCGGGGATCCTCCACTACAGCATCCTGGTCCTAGTAGTAAGGCCAGGAGCCCCTAGTAGCGTCCTTGCTCCTAGTAGCGATGCCCTTTGCTCCTAGTAGCGTCCTCTACCCTATGCAAACGTTGCAGGATCAAGTCCATTCAAACCCTGTCAAGCCTTCAGATTTACCCTGTCAAGCCTTCTTATCACCCTTAAATGTCTTAGGGGTTGGGAAGCGAGAAAGTATGTAAGCCTTGCCAAAGATCCACAGAGCGAGGAGTTGAGGTTAAATCAGGAAATAGCATCCGACAAGACTATGTCATCCCCGTAGATCACCATGCTTGGGTAAGTTGAGGCCAGGGTTGAAGCTTGGATGCTCTTTGTAGCTGGTGTCTGATGGGAAGAACGTTAGTAAGCCACAAGAAAACCTTTGCACTGGGTAGCATGTCATGTATGTCAAAAGAAGTCATCCTTCATACAAGGCGTCAGGATGGATATAGGCAAAAGAAATCATATAGAGATACCGTTGAACATCGACAGCAAGAGCATATTCAACTAGAGTGCTTTGTGCATGCCAAAAGGTGCAGGGGGGTTGCTGTAACAGTACAAGTAGGATGCAAACGATCAGCCTCTCTGTTCTTCTTGCTGGACGGACCAAACATGTATATATCATTATATTTTAATATATATATATATATGTGCTTAGATATACCTCATAGCGATGGCCTCAAACCTAAAGTAAAGAAAGAAATGTCCATGTTCATCCAACCTGTGGCCAGTGGCATGTCAACGACTCATCAAAATCTGCCTCATGGACAGAGTTGTCGATCCTCAGTGGCACGGCTTTGGACTGGAAGTCTTACGCAGGAACATGAGAGAATAATAACGAAGTAATCACAAGTCGTCAAGTCCCTGAAGTAAAGAGACACCACCCTGGTTCGCTTGGAGTGTGTGGCAGCCAGAACCTTGCAGATCCTCCCTAAAGATTCACATGTCAACAGTGAGTTGCTGTAGCAGCTGTGAGTACCTGGCACCCCTTTCCACTGCAACAGAGGCACTCTTCCAAAGTCTTAGGTGGACGTTCCTCCGCTGTTGAACCGGACGTCGCTGCCTCCCGGCTTAGCCCTGCAGCGCATGGCCGATGTGTAAGCAACCGGACTGGCCCAGGAATCACTTTTGGATCTTTCTCTCAAATGCCCTCGGCAATGCTTTTGGTCATGCCACCAAACGCTGTCAAATGAGCAAATATGGTCAGGTGTCGAATCTTTGCGTTGGCAAAAAGAAACTTGAACATGTTTTGGGGGTTAAATCCAATCTCTCTTCTTTGCCTACCATACGGCCAAAAATATGGGTGATAGATGATTGTAGATTGCCACATTCTTACTGTAACACGTGTACATATATATATATACTTACAGACGTACTCACCTTTGGAGAATGCAAAAAGAGATTGACTTTTGGGGTAATACTTGTACAAAATGAACAAACAGCTAGGAGCCTCTGTGGGTGTCGAAGACCCAACCTCGGCGTCCTCAGAACTTCCGAGACCCTTACCTTCTGCCCTCGGAAGCTTCGATCGGTCGACTCATCCAGGCTCTGTTGGGGCAAGCTAAGCCACAGAACGCCTGCCCTGCCTCGCAAGGCTTTGGCGGCTGCCTTCTTCACCTTCATCTCGACATCTTTCCTGAGCGAATCTGGCTGGCACATTGAGTGGGCAGCATACCTCTCTCCAAACTCTCCAAACTCTAGACTAGAGATCTTTGAATGGGAGACTGGAGGAGACTAGAGGAGCTCGTAGGTCGTAGGTTGGAGGCCATCGCTTTGGAGCTCGACTATTGGTCTATGAACCAGGCTCTGCGGAGCGGTTCCTACCAGAACCTTCCAGTCTGATGTTATATTCGACCATCATACACCTTGCAATGCACAAAGCAGGATATATATATATATACATGGAAATCATATACATTATATAACTATATCAGTTCTGGTTAAATGCGATTTCAGATGTTCAAAGTCACCAGACACCTTTTCCGGGGTTTTGTGGAGTTTTGGACTTGCGTCTTGTACATCAAACTAAGCATCAGGATGTCACACTCAAACGTTATGTTGCATTACAGCTAGCATAGAATGCACAGCACCAAAAACAGTGCAACTGCCAGACATGAGCGTGTGCTTTTGGTTTCTTTGCACGCAACGAAAAAGGCACGCTTAGGTGGGGTTAACATACCATGAATATATCTTACACGTACACAGTCTGTACGAAGCTCACATGAAATCTCAAGTTTGCTGTCCAAACAAAGTGACTGCATTCTGTTTGGGCACACGGAAGCAAACATATACCTTGCATGTCTCATCCACACCTTGGATGTGGCCCCACTGTTTACTATGGAACTTCCACCTGGCCCTGCCAATCGGTTCAAACACTGCTCTCTAGTTTGGAGTGGTAGAATCTGCTACACCCCCCTTGGCACCCTCTCGAGACCGCGGAGACCAGGGCTCTGATGTTGCTCCAAAAAGACAGCATGGAGCTTCTGCAGTTCCTGAGGCGGGTTTGGCTCAATCAAATCATCACCAAAAGTATCTCCTTTCGGGGCTCACCTGCGGACATAGAATTGATAGGTAGTATGGCAAAGTGACCTGGCTGCAATGAGTTCTGTCAAGGCTGTGGTGTCTCACCCTCAGTATCCGCCTCATATCTCAATACAAACATCAATGTAGGTCCTAGGTCCTAGGTGCTGCCAAGGCCATTCCCAGGCCAATACGCTTCTTTTGTAGACAAGAATCCGAGCTCAGGGTCTTCTCATACTCACTGCGACCACCCGTGGGCACCGGCATGGTTCGAAAACACAAATTGGTCAAAGTACTTAATCATGTGACCTTCCGAGTTCACGATGATGTTCACTTCTCCCATCTTATCCCTCTACTACATTACTACATCTTGTCAACTTGTTCTTGTCTCCAATGCTGATCCACAGTTGTAGCTGGGCCCAAATAGCCGCGAACATCTGCCACAGTTGCAGCAGAATTTGTCGTACAGCAGTAAGTGCAGTCAAAATGGTCAAAGTGCTTGCAGAAAAGCACTTGAAAGCCGGGCCCGGAGCAAATCGCGTGTGTGATCTAACTGCCATCAACTGAATTCATGTTGCACACTTAGTCAGATTCTAGCCGTGCTTCTGTGTGTAAGTAGTTCCAGGAAGATTAGTCACCAGCTGGTGGAACCCAACGTCCTAGAAATTCTCGTGCAAACTGCAACTCAACACACGAATGCTCCAATCTCCAGTGCAGCCCTTTTCTGCAAATGGCCATTGACACTCTCGGGTGATCATGGCAGGGAAACTAGAACAGGACCACACTCAGCAGGTCGACCCACCTCCAATGGTTGAAAGCCAATGGACACATCTATGTCAACAAAGGATGGCGCGTGTCACAGCTGGCTTGAAAGGATGAGCAGCACAAAAAGAATAGACGAGGGGTCCTAGTATGGATTTCTATATAGACCATTGATGAAAACAACTGATACTCTTGACCGATACACGCCCCGAAGAAAACGGAAGAATGCCCATGAAAAGCAAGGAAGCACCGCATGTACGCTACGCGCTCAACAGAGTCTCTGTTGAGAGTGGGGAGAAGAAGTGGATCTGCAAATGGCAATGAACCCAACATCCATCGATCAATCCCAAATCTCTTCAGAGGGGAACTAGAGGTCGCAAGGACAATCCCCATCTTGGTGACCTGATCTTGAAGGTCAAGTTGAGTCCCAAACTAAACTAGATAGGATATATTCATATGATAACTTAAAATTTGAAGGTGCCCTTACCTTCTTATTCTCCTTTCTATCAGTTGAAACTCTGAAACCTGGCTTTTCCTATGCAAAGGCAGCGGACGATACGACGATAGACATGCAACGCGACCCTTGCACCTTTTCCAAGTCCTTGAGCCAAACGTTGTTGGCAAGATGTCTTTCAGTTCACAACGGCAATGCTACTGTAGCATACCGATTCCAGACTATGCAACTCTTTACATGGTGATTCAAACCTAGGACAAAGTGGTCCAGAAATGCTACATGACGTAAGTCAACCATGCATCTAGATTCCTCTTACCACACTATACGTGTAAGCATACAAGCCTCACTCAAAGCTCAGTTCATCTGGAGGTTGTTTTAGCTGAGGGATTTCATCTCCCCCCTCTGACTCCTGAGCTGCTCGACGGCTTGGGATCAGTTCTGAATCCCGGGCTATCCAGCTGTATCAGAAAGGCTCTGTGGTACACTGTATGGAGGCATTCTCTTCGGCTTGTGTTTCTGCCGTTTCCCTGGCTGGGTAGGGCCTGTCGTGCCCTGAGGTCCTGTCGCTACATCTGTCGTTGGTGCATCGGGCTGCAAAGCCATTTGCTTGTCCAACTTCAGGCCAGTGCCTGATGTGTGATTGATGGTGTACCCGTCAAGGTGCACTCCAAGGTTTTGGAGGGTTTTGGGCCATAGTGCAGGCTCGACTGCTTTTGTGAAAGCATCGGCTTTCTGGTCGCTTGTTCCGACAAGGCTCAGTTCCACGTCATCGCGGTCCAACTGTTCCTTTACTGAAGCCAAACTCACGCGATGTACGCGTTTGAGATGCCTCAGCTTCTTGGAGTATCCAGCTGTTACGACCTTCGCGCATGCAGTGTTGTCTTCGCGAAGCCTCAACAATACAGGACGTCCAAGCATTGCGGAATACAACTCGACCAATGGCAAGCCCTCTTCAAAGAGCACATACGACAGTGCGACAGTTTCTGCCTCCGTCGTGCTTCGGCACGTAGCCGTCTGCTTCTTTGACAGCCATGCCAACGGAAACGACGTCCGCGGGCCAAACAACTGTAGCCATCCACCAGTGGTACTGTGGGTGTGTTCATCATCTCCGCAGTAGTCTGCATCTGCGAAAAGTTCAACAAACACATGCTCCGGCGCATCACGCACATGCCCAAGCAACATAGCGTTCTTGGTTCACTCGAGGTAGCACATGGCACGGTACAAGTACGCATCACAAGCTTGCGTCCAGGACTGCACCATGGTCGCCAACCAAGTGACAACTCTCAGCAGGTCGGGACGAGCAAGGCGTGCCAACCACATGAGTCTCATCAAAATGCTGCTGGCAGAAGCTGCCAGAGCACCACGCTCATCTGCTCCAACGAACCCTTTGCTGAGAAATGGTGATGCAACGACTTTCATCTTCGGGCCGTTTGCAACCCTCAAATACTCTTGAACAGTAGCCTCAGCGTAAGCACGCGTGTCAAAGCCAAAGAACTCTGTGTTATCAGCTTCGACAGTGGAGTGGTGTCGACCAAGAAAGCGACCCAACGGTCCAATGTCATCAATCAACACCTTTTCACCCAACGCCTCCCAGAAAGGCTCGTGCCACTGACTTGGTCCTGAGGGAATCAAGTCGTCCACGTAGACAACCAACGCCAATCCTCCGAAGGTGGGAATAGTAAAGGTGGATGCGAACTCTTCGACCTTGACTGCTCCTAAGACTAACTGTTCTTCAAGAAACTGTTGCCAATGGGCCCCAGCCTTGGGTGTCCGTACAGCGATTTGCGCAATCTAATGATTGGCCTTTTGAAACGAGGGTAGCCACTTGGGGTGTACCCAGATTCAGGCCATAACTCTCTTGGGAGACGGATGTATGTGGCAGCCAAACTTTTCAGTTCCGATTGGAGGTACGCCTTGACGGCGTCTGCCGACGACAACTTATGTCCCTCAAAAGGACCAAAAGAAATAACGCTATTGGCTGCAACGATTGAAGCAGGAGATGCAGCTAGCGTCTGGTAGAGCGCCAGCTTCCCTTCAGCCGTCTTTGCAGAATCGCCACGGTAACACACGCGACCCTTCAGAGCGCGCAGCTCTGGGGCCAACTCAACATGCTTCTCACGGCAAATAGCAAGCAAGTCTGCAATGTGGATGGTTTCTCCACTCTGCAACGCAGCTTCTTTCACACGGAACTCTTCATCAACCGACTCAAGTTCCCATGTTCCCATGGAACCAACGCCATCGAACTCCTTGCGGATCGCCTGCAGTGCATCAGGTCGGGACAACACTTCGTTCCGTGTGAGCTGTCTTGTCACTAGGGCGAACCCAGCTGCAACATCTTCCGGTGGGACATATCCCTCGGGAACTTCATCAGGAGAGTACTCCGGACCCTCGGTTGGCTCCGGCTCAACCCAATGTTCCTTTTCTGCTGCTCCTGTGGAGGAAGATGAAGAAGCCTTTGCTGAACTCTTTGGCATTGGAAGCGGTCCAGGTGTTCTTGGTGCCCCGACATCTGGCGCCGGTGTGGGTGGCGCTGCAGCTTCTCTAGAGAAGATGGCATCAAATCGCTCGCGACATGCCTTGTTGTGGCGGTAGTGGCCACCATCACATCCAGGGCATCCCTTTGTAAAACCATGCTCCAACAAACGTGAAAAAGTAATGTATGCATGACGTGGGGGTGCTACTGGGGTGTCTTCCGGAAAAGCATCTATGTCAATGTCATATGGGGGCACGCCCGACTCAAGAGATCTGCCATAGATCTTCTTCTTCACCTCAACTTCAGGGTCAGACATGTCCTTCAACGCCTTCATCGCTGCGTTGGACAATGGAAACTCAATGTGTTCAACAGGAGGGAAAAACACCTCCTTCTCATGCAGGTCCTTGGGACTCCAATGCAAGTGCGCTCTTGTGCATACAGCCTCATAATCAACAATTTGTACCACGTTGCGGTATCGCAAGCCAGAGTCAACACGCCAACCTGCAAACAAACCTGGTCTTGTAGTCGGAGCGGCCATTCCATCGCTCTTGGCCCTGTAGAAGACAAGCGCACCAAGAGGGTACTTTATACCAAAGAAGGGCTCACCTGTGCAAACCTCCCAACGGGTCTTACCAGTCTTGAACTCCTCAATCTCCGTCCCACGCTCATGCTTACGAATCACACAAGGCGACCAAAAGGCACGAGCTTTTGCGGTGTAAACAACGGAGATCGGCCACATCTTCTTGTTGAAGCCGGCCTGGAGATGCGCAGGTCTGCGCAACTCTTTCAATGCACGCACTTCACGCTCGACGTGGGCTGCGTGAGGCCAATCCCTAGGGATGCTCGGAGACACTGTCCAGCACAACCTGGATGCTGCACCTGTCAACTCGCCGGCTGCATCTGATTTAAAAATGACACCAGTATCCCCGTTGAGCCTATGGCCACCGAAGTGTTTCAGTGAGTTGTAACAAGAGTCTTCGGTTCTGTCTCTGGCCGGATAGGCCATGCTTAGACCGGAGAAGAGATCAACGATCACCAGTGCCACCTTCTCCCCAGCGTTGCTCACGCTTTCCTCCGACGGAAACATATGGTCGGCTTCGAGCACACGGCCAAAAGCAGCCGAGCGCTCGTACGCTTCGTCGCTAGGCTCAGGCCGAACCCCGTGAGCGTATCTTTTCAACATTCGACCACGCACGCAATGTTCACAAAACGGATTCTTCCTTGCGTGGGTCGTGATGTGGTCCAAGCTCTTTGCCTCACGCTTCAACCTAGCATCTCTCGATTCTGCTAGTTCAGCTTCGTCGTCCGCGGGAGCAAGGTCATCTTCAAGCTCGGCGGGAGTTGCAAAGGTATCAACGGTCTCAATGATCAACGGTCCACGGTAGACCTGCTCTTTTGGCTCCTTCTCGACATGCTCCTGTGCAACCACGCAAACAGCTGCCTCACAAACGGGCATGGCGGGCACCTCCCTGAAAACAAGGTCAGGAAACAAAGAAGAGAAGACGATTTCACACATGATCTCTGGGTACTTTGCAGTTGCGCTCGTATTGGAACCTGTGATGGGTGCATGTTTAAAATCAGTACCATGCTTGCAACGA